CCCCAGATCCTGGCCTGCCTGCTGTGGCCTGTCTCCAGGGTCCTGCCGCTCACGTGTTCCCATGATGCCCACGTGCTGGCTGTGTGCTTTGGGCACTCTTTAGAACACAGCACCTTTTGGAGACAGGGGCTCCAGTTCTCTGTACCCCATTCTGAGTGACAGTGAGCCTCCTTCAGCCTTGGTTGTCCCCTCTTTGTCCTCCACTGTCCTCCCCCCAGACCTTGGCCAGGGTGGCCCAGAGGCCCCACCCTCAGGCCCTCCCTTATCTGCTCCCGCAGCTGGTGTGTGAAGACGTGAATGTGGATCGATTCTATCCTGTGCTCTACCCCAAGGTATGGCTGGATCTGGGCCCTGCTCACTGGGAGTGGGTGGGTAACTAGGGGGCCAAGCATTTATTGGGCACCTGCTGTGTGCAGGGCATTTTTCCTAAGTTCTCTCATTTAAACCTCACAATAACCCTGCAAAGTCCCCAGTTTGTGGAAGAGGAACCAGAGGCCCAGAAAGGGTTGGTGCCTTACCCAAGGATGCACAGCAGATAAGGAAGCCTGCATTTGAACCTAGTGCTGTCCTCCTTGGAGGCGAGCCTTCCTTACCTCTGGAAACTCTCAGTGCCATTTGGGGACCCTCCTAAGGGTAATCTGCTCCTGAGCCAAGGCTCCACTGGTCTTGCCTTCTGACCCCAGAGGGGACCTGGGGAGAGAGAGTAACACAGGCACCTCCATAGGTGCCGCCCCACAGACGGCAGCGGCACTTCCAGCTCTGGTGCTGGGTGCTGGGTTTGAGGCACTGTGACGATGTGGGATAAAGGGGAGGGACTTCTGTCTTCAGTGAGCCAGGGGGTTTCTGGAAAGAGGTGGGCCCTGAAAGACACGTACAGCCTGTGGCTCTGACTGAATTCCACAGTGAGGTGAGGTCGCTGAAGGGCGGGTGGTCCAGGAAAGGTCCCCTGAAGGAAGGGGCCTCAGAAATCAGGCCCTGCTTCTCAGTTACCGAAAGCCCAAGGTGAGGAGGGGAACTTGCTCAAGGCTCCACAGCACACTGGTGGGACTCGGCCTGTTCTAGCATGATGAGGTGGCTTTACAGAGGAGCCGGGGAACAAGTTGGGTGTTAGAGCAGAGCAGGGGCGGGAGCTTATGAGCAGAACTCAGGAGCAGTGCGCTTAGCCTTTGGAATCCAACAGACCTGAGTTCAAGTCCCAGCTCTGCCATTTGCCAGCTGTTGACCTTAGCAAGTCAGTTCCTTAAAGTCTCGGAATGTCGGCGTCTTCATCCGTGAGATGCAGTCCGCGGGAGTGCCTCCCTCACGGGCTTGTTCTGAGGAGGAAATGAGTGGATGCATGTGGAGTGCCTGGCACAGCGCTTGGCACATAGAGCAATAAACGGCAACTTGAAAAAGCAGCGTGTTTCACCCATCGTCCTGTCCCCGCAGGCCTCCCGCCTCATTGTCACCTTCGACGAGCATGTCATCAGCAATAACTTCAAGTTTGGAGTCATTTATCAGAAGCTTGGGCAGGTGTGCTCACCTCCTCCTCCCTGCCCCCGACACATCTGGCCATGTACCTGGGACCTCAGACCTTTGCCAGGGAGAGCACCTGCCAAGGGACTCAGTTTCCCAGGAGCTCAGGGGCTGTCAGAGGTCCCCTTTTCAGCCTTCCTGGGTGTGAATGGGGGTAGGAGGCCCAGCTCGATGACCTCTGCCCTCTGTGCATCCCTAGACCTCCGAGGAAGAACTCTTCAGCACCAACGAGGAGAGCCCTGCCTTCGTGGAGTTCCTCGAATTCCTTGGCCAGAAGGTCAAACTGCAGGACTTTAAGGGGTGAGCATTGGGGTGGGACAAGCAGAGGATAATATGACCCATGCCCTTGGGCAGGGAGGGAGCCCCCGTCCTGGCCCTGTGGAGGCCTGGCTGGGGCTGGAGACTGAGCCGTGGCCTGGGGGGCCTGGGGCAGGTTCCGAGGAGGCCTGGACGTGACCCACGGGCAGACGGGAACCGAGTCTGTGTACTGCAACTTCCGCAACAAGGAGATCATGTTTCACGTGTCCACCAAGCTGCCCTACACAGAAGGGGACGCCCAGCAGGTAGCCTGGGCACCCACCCACCTGCTTCCCACCTGCCCTCCTGTCCCCCATTTACCTACCCATTCAGTGTCCACCACACCAGACTCAGTGGGCCCTGGGATAGAGAGATGGAAATGATCTAGTCCCCCAACTTGTGGCCTCTAGTTGGGGCAGGGTGACAAGCTACTACGATGTTGTGAAAGCCTCAGTTTCCACATCTGTGAAATGGGGATAATGCACCTACCTTATAGGTGAGCATAAACGAGGGTATGCACCCAGAGTGGCTAGAACAGTATCTGGTACACAGCAGGAGCTCAGTAAATGCGAGTATTTTTACAGGAAGTGAAGGGTATTGTCAGGTCACATGGGGGCACTTAGACTGGGCAGAGGTGGGAGTCAGGCAAAGCTTTCAAGATAAAGTGACTTTTAGGTGGCAAAGGAAGTAGGAGAGGGAGGAGGAGCATTCTGGGGGAAAGAATGGCTTCCATCTTCTGCAAAGGCCTGGTGATGAGGAAGTGCAAGGCATGTTCCCGGAGCTGAACTTGGAAATTTGTCACCTTGTCCTAAGCTTCCTGCAGGGCTGTCCTCCTTATTTCCCCATGCCCCCACTCCAGGGGTACAGGGGGATACAGGGGTCATGTGAGAAAAATGGAAATGTTTATTCCTTATTTTTAATGTCTTTTAATTTTCTTTTAATAGATTCTCTGTTCATTTTAACAACAAAGATATATTGAGTGGAACTTATTTGTTCAAGAGGGGCCCATGTTTGGGGTATTTAGACAGGAGGAGGGTGAGAGGTAGGGCCTGGGGACCAAGAGCCCCGGGTTCAAGTCCCCTAATTCACTGTAGGGCCCTGCAAGTCACTTCTGTCTTGGCCTCAGTTTTCTCATCTGTCACAGGATTCCAAGAAAACGAGAATAATTTTAAGACAAGTTTCTCACCACATAGTTTTGGGGGAAGCAACTCCTTAGACATGCCCCCTGCCTACTCCAAGCCCCCTGCGCCTCTGCGGGCACCCTCCCCACACTCTGCGGGCCCCCGGCCAGGTGGTGAAGGCTGTGGCCCTGTGCTCAGTTGCAGCGGAAGCGGCACATCGGGAACGACATCGTGGCTGTGGTCTTCCAGGACGAGAACACGCCCTTTGTGCCGGACATGATTGCGTCCAACTTTCTGCATGCCTATGTGGTGGTGCAGGCCGAGAGTGGGGGCCCCAATGGCTCCCTGTACAAGGTGGGTGATCTCGGAGCTTCCCAAGGGCACCAGCCACCATCCCAGCCCCACCCTTACTCACTGTGAGGCCTCTCTGAGCCTCAGTTTTCCTAACTGTAAGTGGGGGGACTGTCCGGAGGGCTCTGAGCCCCCCTCTTGCTCTGATGATGGAGGAGTCCCATCCCGCCCTTTCTGCCCCCTGAAATCCCTCCCCTCAGAGAGGCTGGTTACCCTTCTCCGCCCTTTAGCCTCCTCCTCCCTCTCCATCCTCATGACTCCTGAGACCCTCCACCCCTTCCCACCACTCAAATTCAGGACCAAGGATGGAGGAGCTGAAATCCTGGGGTTCATCCATCCAATCGGCAGTCACTGAACCTCCCCCGCCAAGGGACAGCCCTGTGCCCAGCACGAGGCAGGATAGGGAGGCGAATCAGTGGTTTCTGGCTGGTGTGGGGACTCCATGGGGACAGCTGCCCTCCCTTCCAGGTCTCCGTCACTGCGAGAGACGACGTGCCCTTCTTCGGGCCACCCCTCCCGGACCCTGCTGTGTTCAGGAAGGTGAGGGGCAGCCCCCAGCCCCCCCCATCATGGGCAGAGCAGGACTAAATGGGTGGGGGCTGAGAGGGTGCACATTCTACTGTACGAGGACCTGAAGCCCCACTGTGTGCCAGGGCAGCCGGGCTCCCCTAACTGAGCAGCTGGGGCCTGGCTTTTCTGTTCATCTTGATAAAAACTGTGACTTTATTTTACAACGTCCCAGAACAGACTATATCATTGTTTTACATTTTGTATAGCAGACTCTGTGGCCTTTCCTCACTTCTGTTGTCTTCTTGACAATTTCAGCCTTCTTCTAAAATGTTTGGGGAGAGGGGCACACATCTCTCTCACATCTCAGGAGCCCTCACTTTGAGCCTTGGCTTCAGCGCCCCCCAATCCCCCAGACTGAGGCAGTGGGAGACCCCAACCCAGCTCTCCCAAGGGGTGGGCAGCCATGAAGGGCATAGGGCTCACAGGTGCCTGGGCTGGGGAGCTGAGCCCAAGGAGATGCCCTTCTGGGAGTGAAGAGGGCAGCCCCCAGGCCCCAGCAGAGCGTGGCTCAGGAGCCCCAGCCCCTTGTCTCTGTGTTCGCCTGACCCCCCTTTCTCTTCTCCACGCTGGGGGCTCCCAGGGGCCCGAGTTCCAGGAATTTTTGCTGACAAAACTGATCAATGCTGAATATGCTTGCTACAAGGCAGAGAAGTTTGCCAAACTGGAGGTGAGTATGGGTTCTTGGGGGTGAATCCCCCCACCCCGTAGAATTTCAGCCCCTGGGGAGAGAAGAGCTGTGTTCAGACCTTGGCCTTAGGGAAGGCTGCCTGGGGGAGGACAGATTTACAGATGAGCAGCGCCAGGGTCAGGGGAGAGGAAGTAAGGGTTCATAAGGAATGCTCAGGAGGGCCTTGGAGGTAGGCCGGCTGCCACAGAGGACGCAGTGGAGGAGGGGCGTGGGGACATGAAGTCAGATCTTTGAGGGGCCACGTCGAGCCCTGGGGGCTGCCTGTGCTGCGGAGGGGCCTGAGGGAAGCCGTCTAGGCTTCTGGAGCCCAGGCCCACTTCCCACTCAGAGAAGGTGGCCACGATTGCAAATGTGGGAAGAAGGGCTGATCCCTGGGGTCTCTCCTAACGGCCCCCGGCCTGGCCCTCAGGAGCGGACACGGGCCGCCCTCCTGGAGACGCTCTATGAGGAGCTGCACATCCACAGCCAGTCCATGATGGGCCTGGGTGGAGACGAGGACAAGATGGAGAACGGCGGCGGGGGCGGCGGCTTCTTCGAGTCCTTCAAGGTGAAGAGCAGGGGTCTACCTGGGTGCAGAGGGGACGGATGTGGTTGGCTTGGATGGAATCTGGGCACGTGGTTGGGCTAGAGTAGGGGGATGCCGTTAGCTACAAGGTGTGGGGGTGTGGCTAGAGGTGAGCTCACATTGGAGGTTGAGTCGGGTGGGGGCGTGGCTCGGGGTGGAGTCACGGGTGGAGTTAATAGGCGTGTGCTCGGACTAGGTGGGCACGCACCTGGGGTAGAGTCTGGGTGATGGTGAGCCTCTGGGTGGACCTGGGCTTTAGGGTGGGCTTAGACTTGTGGGGGGGTGTGGTCTTGTCCTGGGGTAGAGCTGCGGTTGGGAGTTGTAAGGTGGGCTCTGGCTGGGGGAGGAGTTGATGGTTGGAGGCGGGGCTAAGCTTGGGGGCGGAGTCTGCCTGGGAGCTGTGCTGAAGGTTGGAGCCCTCTGGTGCCAAGGGTGGTGGCTCCCAGGTCAGCAGGCAAAGAAGAGAGGAGGAAGCCTCTGTCCTGACCGAGAGAAAGAAACAGAGGTCAGGGAAGGGAGGTGAACGAGGGGCTATAGGAGAGGGACCTGGTCTGCATGACCTTAGGCCGTGTGACCCACCCTGGCTATCTCTGGTTTAGCTTAGTGTTAAGAGCATAGACACCCTGGGTTCAAATCCCAACTCTGCCACTTACCACCAGCTTGAGCATTCTCTGAGCCTCAGGTTTTTTAATCTGTTGTTTAGGGTAATGGCAACTTACCTCATACAACTGTTGAGAATTATTTGTGAAGCAGTTAGATCAGTGTAATCTAAGTTAAGAAGCAAAATGCAAAGCCCTGCCCATCTACCTCAGCAACTACCATCCCAAGTGAGAGGCAGAGGAGGAGAGAGTTCCTCTTCCCCCCACAGGGCCTGGACTCCCCCAGGCTGCAGGTCCCCAGGCGGTGGCCTCTTTGCCACTGTGTCCTCCACCCACAGGAGGGGGACTGCCCATCCTCCAGGTGCCCAGCAGGCTATTGGGGCCTCACATTTACCCCAGGGCAGGCCACAAAGTTGGAGGTGTGGGTTTGCATAAGAGGATTAGCCCAGCAAGGCTGAGGCGAACAGAACTTCTTTGAGAAAGAGGCTTGAAGAGAGCCCTGCCTCTGCTCACTGGAGACAGGGAGTGGGTGGGAGGAACACGGACCTGGGGTGTCTTCTCTGAGGGCGGCTCCAGTGATCCCACGTCTGGTGAGTGCTGGATGGTGGACCGGGCTTAAGTTACAGACCTTCTTCGAGGCAGCGGAGCCCACAGTCAAGGGTTTGGGTTTGGCATCTGGGTTCCAGACCCACCTCTGCTTCAGTTTCATCACGTGTAAAATGGGCTTGGTGGCAGTGCCTGCTTCCTGGGGCGGATTGAGTGAGAGCAAATGTAAAGTACCTAGCCCTGAAGTGAGCGTTCAGTGCAGATTGACTGAAAAAAGCAAGGAACGGAGGGAGGGAGGGAGGGAGGGAAGAAAAGCAAGGAAGAAACAAGTCCTAAGAGATGCTAAAAGGAGGGAATTGGGGTTTCTGGAGGTCTCTCTGTGCATGCTTTTGCTTACGACCCAGCGTCTTCTGCGGTCTTTACAACAACTGCACGACCGGTCATGAGGTTCAGAGGCTCAGAGGTGTGGAGTGGCTTGCCCAAGGTGACCCAGCAAGTTGGTGGCAGAGTCAAGGCCCACACTACCCTTGGCACATGTGGACCTGACTCTTGTGTGCTCTCATGGGAAGGGACTTCCTGGGGTCACCGAGATTGGCGTCGGTGGCTCCTGGGTTTCCCTGAGGGGGTGGGGCCTTAGGAAACCCCTACCGCCACCTTCGCAGCGGGTCATCCGGAGCCGCAGCCAGTCCATGGATGCCATGGGGCTGAGCAACAAGAAGCCCAACACCGTGTCCACCAGCCACAGCGGGAGCTTTGCGCCCAACAACCCGGACCTGGCCAAGGCGGCTGGAATAGTGAGTGCCCTCCCCCAGGGGCCCCGCCTCCCCCCGCTGCCCTGCTGTCCGAGGGCTCATCCTGGGCTCTAGGCTAGGTCTAGCCACTGCCCTCCACGGGGTCAGGTGCCCAGGCTGTGACACCGGGATGCTGAGAGCCTGCAGCCCCCTCCCCAGCTCCTCAGCCCGCCCCACCTCCTGGCCCCTTATTCAGCTGTGTCTGCTCTGGGGCAGCTTCTGTGTCACATTTCTTATGAAGCACCTACTGTCTGTCGTATGCTGGGGATTGGGCTGCTGTATGGACACCTCCTGTCAAGCCTTGAGTTTCTGGGAGCACCTGTTGTGTGTCAGGTCCTGGATTTCTGTGTGAGCATCTGCTGTATGCCTGGCTCTGAGATGCTGGCGGGCACTGCTGTGTGTCCAGACTTGGGCTGCTGTGTGAGCACCTACTGTGTGTTAGGACCCGGGCTGCTGTGTGGACATGTACTTTGTGAGCACCTACTGTGGGCCCGGCCCTGAGATTCTGTGAGCACCTATTGTATGTCAGATCCTGGGCTACTGCGTGGACCTAACTCTGTAAGTGTCTGCTGTGTGCCCAGCCCTGAGCTGCTGTATGAGAATCCACCATGTGTCAGGAAATGGACTGCTGTGATAAGCCCTGGATATCAGTGAATACCTTCTCTGTGTCAAGAGATGAGCTGCGTGAGCACCCATTATGTGCCAGGGCCTCTGTGGTTGTGCCCACCTATTGTGTGTCAGGACCTGGGCTTCTGTGTGAGCCTCTCCTGAGTGAGCACCTACTGTGTGATTACTTACTGTCTGCCAGGCTCTGTGGGATTCTGCTACTAATACTCAGGGGGTGTGCTGGGCACAAAGGCTGAATAAGGCCCTCAATTGTGGGCCAGTCTGCTTTCCACTGCCCAGTGGTCACCCCCAGCACTGCACCTACTGCTCTGCTGCCCCTTCCCCATCCATCTTTCCTTCCTTCCTTCCATCCACCCGTCCTTCCATCCATCCGTCTGTCCATCCATCCATCCATCCACCCACCCACCCATCATTTACTGACTGACTGCTGCATGCCAAGCAAGCCCTGTGCTCAGTGCTATGAGGCTGTGTCATGTGGCAGGAGGGACCCCCTCCACCCCACCCCTGCCCCATGGGCTGACCTGGCCAGGGAGGCAGGGCGAGTCCTCTGTGTTCCAGCAGTCACCAAGCCCACTGTCACTGGAGAAGCAGGCCCACCCTCCTCCAACCCCAATTCACTAGCCACTCCCCTCCTTCCCCGCCAGAGTGGCCCAGCCTCCTGTGGGTGGCTGTAGAGGGGCCCCAGGGACAGGGCCAGACCAGCAGCACCCACCGTGGCAGTAACCAGACCCATTTCTGTTTTTGTTTTTGCACAACTGTCCCCTCTCTTCATGTTGCTTCCTTTTCCTTCCACTCTCTCCTCGTTCCTTGTTTTCCCTTCCCTTTTTCTCTTCCCCTCCTCCACCCCCTGCCTCCCTCCACCTTCTTACACTTGTGTATTCTGTCCTCTTGCACCTGTCCTTTTCCTCCCTCTCCTCTTTCAAACTGCTTTCGCCCTTGATTTTTCCTTTGTGCCTGCCCCTCCCTCTCCGTCTCTGTCCGTCTTGCTCCCCGGGTCCATCTCTGTGTCTGTCTCTCCATGTTTCACTCTGCACCCCTTCTCATGTGGCTGTCAATCTCTCTCCTCTGTTCTCTCTGTGTCTCCTCCCACCTCTTCTCTCCTTCCCTTCCCCGGCCTTGTCTCTCTCAATCCCCTGCCCCACTCTCTTCTTTGTCCCTGTCTGTCTGTGTCTGTCTGTCTTTCCCTCCTTTCCCTGTCTCATTTCTCTGTGCCTCCCCCTCCCGCCATTTCTGTCTCTCTGACCCTCTCTATGCCTGTCTCTCTCTCTCTGCTCCCACCCTCTGCTGCTTGCCAGTCATTGCTTATTCCTGGGAAAAGTGCGAGTAGATTCGGACGCCGGGGCAGTGCCATAGGCATAGGAACCGTGGAAGAGGTTGTCGTCCGCGGGGCCGCCGTCTCTGGAGGCTGCCTGCACGCGCTGCTCTCTGCTCGCCCTCAGGACGGAGGCCATATTGGGGACGTTGCCCCCCTCCCCCCGGGACAGGCCCGAGGGCTGGCACCTGTGCCAGTGCCAGTGCCCCCCCCCACCAGGGGCTCTGGCCCTGCCCTGACCCCTGGGACTCTGGCCCAGTCCCTGCCTTTAGGATCTGGTACCTAAAGACCCTCTGTCCAGCTGCACGTCCCCCAATATCGCCAGTTCTGCATGGAGCGCCACCGCCCTCCTCTGCCCTAACTCCCTGTCCCGACCATGAACTGGCCTGGGGGTTTCTGCCCATCTGTGCCTCCATGGGGCCCACCTTCCCGCCTCCCCAGAGAAATAGGGGACATGCTTCTGGTGCCTGGGGCATCCCACCATTGTATATGTGTAACCTGGGCTCGGGGGCATCTTTCAACTGCTGGGCCAGAACCTCCCCCAGCCGGTTTGGAGATTCCGAGGTGTAGCAGGGGGCAGGGGCTTGGGTTGCCTCACCCACTCTCTCCCCACTGCCCGTAGGCTGCAGGTCCCATGAAGTCCTGGGGGCAAAGAGGCAGCAGTCATTCTGAGGACTTGGCCTCCTCCAGTCCCAGCCCAGAGTGGCTGTCCAGCTCCCTCAGGCTTCTGCTCTTCTCCTAGACTAAGATGCTGGGTCCAGACCTGCTGTGTGACTTCAGGGGGGCCTTTGCCCTCTCTGGGCCTGTTTCCTTATCTATAAATTAGGACGGCCCTCTCTAGAGATGGACAGTTCTCTCATTTTTCTTGCTCATTGTCTCTGCTTCAGGGCCTGGGCAGCAGGGCCCCAGGGTGGCATGTGGGGGGCACAGGGGCTCCTGGAGCAGGTGGGTACTGAGTTGGGACCTCTCCCCGCAGTCCCTGATTGTTCCTGGAAAGAGCCCCACCAGGAAGAAGTCGGGCCCGTTCGGCTCACGCCGCAGCAGTGCCATCGGCATTGAGAACATACAGGAGGTGCAGGAGAAAAGGTGGGTGCAGTAGAGAGGGTAGGATGGCGTCCTGAGTCTCCTCTGGCTCCCCCCGACCCCCATTCAGTGGCAAAGCACAGCAGGCAAGAGGGTGCTCCCACCCTTCTCCCCCTCTGTCCCCACCGGTGACAGCTACACGGTCAAGTCCCTGCTCTGCGTCAGGCACCACGGCCAGCTCGTCACCTAACATGAAGCCCTATCATCCAGTCCCAGCTCTGCCGGCTCCCAGGGGGTCACACCTTGCACATCAAGGAGCCACAGGTCAAGGGGTCAGGGGCCTGCCCAGGTCACACAGCTGGTGAGGGGCAGAGCTGGGATTTGAGGCCTGGTCCATGGAGGTCTATAAGTGCATCTGTGTGTGCGGGGTGTGGACAGCACACCGTAGTACCAGCAGAGAGCCTCCGGGAAGCAGAGGATAGTTCCTGGGTGTGAGTCCTGTCTCCACCACACTGGGGCTGTGTGACCTTGGGAAAGTTACTGTACCTCTCTGAGCCTCACTGTCCCAATCTGAAAAATGGGGATAAGAACACAACCAACGGCATGGCGCTGCTGTGGGGGGGTGTGCAGTGCATGTGAAGCAGGGAGCAGGTGCACTGAGGCCTCAGGAGTGGAGCTGGCACTGTCCTCAAAGGCAAGAGAGCCCAGAATCCCATGAACCCAGGGTTCGAGTCTTGGCTTCGCCATGTCCTAGCTGCACGTCCCTGAGCAGGTTCCTTCCCATCTATGGACTCCAGTTTCCTTATCCATAACAGGGTCTTCAGTAGGTGCTCCCACAGCACCTGCCCCCTCCTTGGCCAGGCCAGTCCAGGAGCTGCAGGGACTGCTCTGGGTCTGGCCCCTGAGGATGTAGGGTGTGGGTACAAGGCAGGAGGCACCCATGACCTCCTCTCACCACCTGGGCCTCCTTCTACCCTTGATGCCAGGCCTGGTGCTGAATCCCCCCGCTGCCCCCATGTGCCCCGCAGGGAGAGCCCCCCGGCTGGCCAGAAGACCCCAGACAGCGGGCACGTCTCACAGGAGCCCAAGTCGGAGAACTCATCCACTCAGAGCTCCCCAGAGATGCCCACGACCAAAAACAGGTTGGGGCTCGGGGCATGCTGAGCCGGGGGGCTTGGGTGTGGCGGGCCCATTCTTTCTACCCCCTGTCTGGGCCCAGGCCTGCCAGGAGTGTTGACACAGCCATACCACGGCGGCAGGGGGCCTGATTGCTCTCCTAGGTCCTCCTTTGACACACACCCGCTGAGCACTTTGTGCATGCCAAGCTCTGCAAGACGGCAGTGAGCTGGACATACACGGCCCCTGCCCCGTGGAGCTGACAGTCCAGCGCAACATAGCCCAATAAGCTACTTCCAGATAGTGATGACAGAAGAATAAAGCAGAGGATATGATGAAGAATGAGTGGGGGTGGGGCGTTAGGTGGGTGCTTAGGGAAGACATCTACCAAGGGGTGGGGTTTGAATTGGGAGCTGAGTGAGGAGTCAGCCCTGTTAGGTCTGACTTACAGTGGCTTGGCAGAGGGAAGAGGGTTTCAGGTAAGAAACACGGCAAGTGCAGAGGCCCTGAGGCATGCTTGGTGCAGTTGGAGCTGAATGAGTGAGGCTGGGCCCAGGCGGACACCGGTAGTGGAGGGGATGAGGTTGGAGAGGCGGGTGGGGGCTAGGTCACGGCTTTGAAGGCCATGTGAGAACTTTGAGACTGGCAAGGAGGCTTTGGAAGATTTTAGTTAAGAGGAGTAGTGGTGCTTTAACAAGCTGACTGTGGTCACCATGTGAAGGCTCTGAGGGTGGGGGCAGGAGCAGAAGCAGGGAGGCCAGCCAGGAGGCTGCCCCTCCGTTCAGTGCTTGTTGGCTGAGCCCCTTCTGCGTTGGCTGCCGGGGGTGAGGGGGCTGTGGAGAGGACCCGGCCTGGGCTGAAGAGTCAGGCAAGTGAACAGAGAAGCAGGAAAGGGCCACAGGGACAGGGAGAGACAAAGCTGAGCAGAGAGGGTCATTCCCACAGCAAGGAAGAATCAGGGAGGGCCTCCTTGAGTAGGCGACCCCTGGCTGGTTTTCCAAAGGTAAATTTACTTTTTTTGGGATTTGAGGGAAGGAGTGAGACTCCAGGCAGGAGACACAAAGGCCCTGAGCATGGGACAAAATTGTGAGAGAGTTAAAAGAGAGTAGACTGTGGAGTTGGAAGGCCTGGGTCCTACCGGTTCTCCCACCTATGGCTGCGTGACCTCGGGCTGTGTGCCCATCCTCTCTGTGCCTCGGTGTCTGCTCCTCTATAAGGTGGGTCTAATAATGATAGCAATGAGATAACTAGGGTAAAAGCACTTAGAACAGTGCCTGGCACAGAGCAAACCTGCACTAGATGGCAGTATTGTTAATAGTTATGATTGAGCATCCAGCCAAGGAAGTTGGACTTTATCTGGGGCAGTGGGGATCCAGGAGAGGGAATTGAGCAGGGGAGGGGCATGATAGGATCCACGTGTTAGCAAGGACAGTGGCATTGGGGAGGCTCAGAGGCCCAGGGAGCTGTAAGAGGCCAAAAAGGCACTTGGCTGGCTGCAGGCTGGGCCGCCCTGGGCCGGGAGGGCAGGGGCATGGGGTCTTGGCCCAGGAGGTGCCCAGTGTGGATGCTGGCTGATAGGACGCTGTCTGTGGCAGAGCGGAGACAGCAGCTCAGAGAGCAGAAGTGCTGAAGGACTTCTCCCGCTCCTCGTCCAGTGCCAGCAGCTTCGCCAGCGTCGTGGAGGAAGCAGAGGGTGTGGACGGGGACGATACAGGCCTGGTGAGAGGCCCAGGGAGGGGAGGTGCCCCACAACGGCCTGAAAGGGGTGCTCTTTGGTCCCTGGAGATGCTCTGGGTGGAAGCATGAGGCTGGGTGTGGTTGAGTTGTGATCAAGGGACTCAGCCCAAAGGAGTAATGCAGACTGACCTTCTCTTACTCTAAAGCCTTCCGTGGCTCCCCGGTACCCCCCACAGCCCAATCTCTGAGGCCGTTGAAGATCTAGCCCCTCCCTCCCCACCCTCGTCTCTTACCACTTCAGCCATTCTGCCCTCCTTTGCAGTCCCCCAAACCAACAAGGCTTACTCTGCTTCTGGGCCTTTGCACATGCCATTTCCTCTGTCTGTCCTCCTTCCCACTTTGACTGACTCGCATTCATCCTTCTAAATTCAGCCTCATGTCACCTCCTCCTGAAAGCCTGCCTTCCTGGTCCCAGGGTAGGTTAGGAGCCCCCTTTACACTCTCATAGACCCTGGGCTCTGTCCTTGGAACCTGTCTGTCATGCTTCACTCAACAGTCCTTTGGCGAGCGCTGTTCCTTGCCACGCCCCGTGCCAGGTGCT